TATATATATGATAAAGGCTATTTTTCCTTCCTGGCTTAAATGAATCTTATGACCGAAATTCCACAAAATCAAGTCCTTAAGGCCTCATATCTGGAGCTGATTGTGATTCATCAACACAATGGTATTCATCACTCCTTCCCAAGATGTAGAAATGAAACAAGAACAGTAAAGCAGATAACAAAATATTGAAGTTACTATTACCTAGAAAAATGGTCTGAAATAGCACCTTGGAAATACAGTACCTGATATTACAAACATTCCTTCAGGGCTGAAAGATGCCTCCAATGTGGAATTGCTAGAAACAGGCTTCACATTGTAGGTGGATAGCTAAAAACAACAATGACAAAAAAACATAATAATAAGTTCAAGTACATATGAACTAGTTATCACGATGTCTATCAATAAGGGAGATCTTCCTTAAAAAGAAGTAAAAAGTTCAGGGTGAAACTACTCACAAGTGTGCCTTGAAATGAATCAAGTACATACATGAATACACCCATCCATTGTTGTCACAAGCATAAGTCTTCCATCATTGCTGAATTTTACAACATTAGTATCTGATACATCTCCACCAACAGAAAAGATGTCAAAAGGACCCTAAATAGATTCAAATTTTTGCATTAGATGTGTCTTTTCCAACAGAAACAATGTCAATACACCTTGATTATATTCACAATTCCCCAACCATTAGTCCATTACATGCCCATTTTATTTTGTTTTCATTTTTTAACATTCAAATGAAACATCTACAGAACAGCTAAACCCCAGTGGTCTCACATATCTACTGCTAACCTTTTCATATTTTCGAGCATCAAAGATTCTTATATAGCCTCCAAAGGCAATTGCAAAAACAAGCCCTTGATCATCATATGCTGTGGTAGGCCTTCCTTGTACGTGTAAAAGCCCCTAGAATACAAAACATAATTTAACTGGAAATCTTGTAGAAAATAGGAACATGTTTAGAAAAGAATCCAAACATGCTATTCAGTATTCACCTGACACTTCTCAGCTCTTTGATCTCAGAGTAAAACAGTTCAATCAAGAGAACTAGAAATGATTCAAATGAAGCATTCATTGCAAGGGCACAGGCTAAGTGAAACAACCCTAAAAACAAAAGCAGAAACAACAATAACAACAACAAAATGTCATATCATTGCTATACCATAGTCTTATGGAATAAATAGTCAACCAGTATCAAATAACAAACCTGTCATGGTGACCTTTAAAATATCACAAATACTTGTTATCATGCAAAGACAGAAACTGCAAAGATTCTGAAAGAAAATAATTCCATGAGCAACCTAAAACAATTCAGGCCAACATCCCCAAACACAAATTGCAATGAAAACATACCATCCCAACCATTTTTTGAAGAGTATATAACTGTTGTAGGATGAGAAGTAAAGCAAACAAATATCAACCCCATACTTTTTTGCTATTAATTGTCTTCAAACTCCTGGAAATACATTAAGGATCTACTTAATTCAAGAAACCCAAAACAGATACTTAATTAAGTCAAGTTTGTATCAAAATCACAAAAAAAAAAAAATAAATAAAAAAAATTACTTACGTTGCAGTGGATACATCATAAAGGCATATAGATTCATCATCGCTAGCAGTTAAAGATAGCTCGAAGTTTTGTAATAATCCATTGAACTGATTCCGCAGTTCTGTTAACAATAATTGAAATGCAAAATTTCGTTCAGAAAAAAGGTGACTAGCAGAAATCGAGCTAAAAATGTGCTCTCAGAAATAAGGAAACAAGAATTAGGTATTTGAATTTACATAATCCGTAACACCGCGCCGACTTCCATACTTTGACGGATTTCTTCCGAGTTCGAGGGAAACACTGCCTTCTCTCTCGGACTGTGACGCTAAAGAGCCGATACCGGAAAACGGAAAGACTAAATAATCAGCAATTGAAGTAATAACGGTACAGATGATAATGAAATTGGAAGGATATTCACGTACCAACCATTGTTATTGTTCTTCTGATATGCTATAATTTGATCAGAGATGAAGAAAACCCTAGACACAGCGCTCGTCGCCGCTCAACGTCTGAAACCGCCAGCGACGACGACGACGACAGAGACTCGATTTAAGCTGGGCTTCGTATTGCCCCAAACCAGCTAGGATCCACCAACTAATAAATACTATCTATTTTCTTATTAATAACATTTTGATAATTTCAGGATTACCATACTTTTTTTTCGGAGAATACCATAAATAACACCAATCTCTTTTATTATGGTCTTTTATTAAAGAAAAATTGAAAAATAAGTGAAAGTGAACTATAACCATTTTAGAGAAACTCCTCCATACCCCTCAATCGAATTGGATTACACAATGAGAAATTACAGTAATATATGACATCTTTTGATTCCCTTTGTACATCCACCCTGTTTCAACACCTATAAATCATTTATGGACCTCTTTGATATAATTTTTTTTACAGATTACAATTCAAATAACGGGATTCGAATCTTAAAATGAACCTTACAAAAAAAAAAACTTATAACTATCGCATTACAAAACCAAAACATATAATTTAAATGTACAATTCACATAGAAAAACTAAATCATGACTATTTCATCTAGCTCCAACTGGAACGGACAACCTCTGCGGCGTCAATGGTGGAGCTACTAGTACTGGCGGTGGAGTCACTAGTACTGGCGGTGGAGTCACGATTCTCCTCCCTCAACGACTTCTTCTTGATGAACTCGATGCAGTCGGCTACAGCCTCACTCTGGTAAGCTTGATCATGAGCAGGGTAGTAGTACTTTCGCGGTCGCAGATCAGGTGATGATCCGCCGTCATTTGAGGCCTTGGAGAGGGCAGACAACATGATAAGGCCGAAAGCGGCTTCTCGGAGGCGTTCAAGGAGGGTCATTGGCAACGTACGTTTGTTCTTATTGCCTCTGAACCGGGGGATGCAAAAGGGATTACTGCTCTTCCTTTTTTGGGGGCTACGTTTCTCCATGTCGATCTCCTAAATGTAATCACTTGGACATTTGGGGTAACCATATACACGACAGAAAACGTTAATATATACATGCATTTAGCTTTAATTAGTTCCAAAGTTTGACTCCGCTTGATGCGGTGCCTAATGTCAAGTACATAATGATAACTTTTTTTAACACATGGGATATCTGCGCTATTGATACGTTTAATTTTATTGGTACTTATAAATCAGAAAGGGTAATGGGTATAGCTTATTAAATTGTAATTATCATTAAATAAGGGCAAAGCTTCGGTGTTTTGTCTTGTAATGTCTAATGAGTAATGACAACTCAACCAAAACTAATTTGCCTCATTGACTCTGTTTTAGAGATATAGCTTAGTTTATGCTTGGATTCATGGCTGAAGAAGATTAGATATAGCTTTGCAATGTTAGGTAGTGTGGGAGGTTCACATGACTGCATGTGCAGGGCTGCATAATTTTAATTCAGTCGTTTCATGCCTTAGCACGAACTACATATTCAATTCAGCCGCCCATGACCGACCATCAGAAAACCCATTTTTCTATGCATGAATAAGACATGGGAAGTGTTCTTCCACAATTCTTTCCTCTGCATAGATACGCGCAAATGCAGATATTATAGGATATAGTTATGGGAAAAACAATGAATATTGTAGTGTGTAAGAAATGGAGCATCGGCGACCATGCTTCTATTGGATTTGCTATCGGATTTTTCGCTTCTTGTGGTATCTGTAGCCATGGACCAATCTTGTTCTATTGTCCTTCTGACTAGTGTGAATGTGTGATCAATGAATTAAGCCAATTTGTGAACCCTTATCTAATAATAGGAGGATGTAATTTTTTTTTCTTTTTTTTTTGAAAAAAAAAAGAGGAAAACCTCCGTTTGCTCAAGAAAAGAGGGAAAATAAAGAGATATGGGAATTTATGGGGATATTGACATGTGATTATTAGAAAAAAAATACACCATTCTTATGAGAAAAGAGTATACATATAATTATTGCATATTTTATTAGCTTATTTAAAATTTGATATGTAAATAAAAATGAACTATTTTTTCACTTATTTATATTATGTGAATTAATATACAATTCACTTTTAATGACGTGTCAAATTGTCATGATTTAATTATATTACTAACTTACTGCAACAGTTGCATGGAAGACTTCCCACTTGTTTGATCACAACAATGTAAAACATATGAAGGATGCATATAGAAAGACCAATATTGCATATTCAAGCTCAGAACCCACTTGGTGACTCAATTTCTTGGCTTCCCCTTTTCTTTTGAGAACAACCATCCTATAATTGGAACCAATGACTTTCTTTTATCTTTCTTAGCAGGAGGCGATGTCCCCAACATTTCCTTTCTGCTAACAATAACCTGAGCCAATGAAGGAGGACTTGCAAATTTCACAAACCTTTTCTTCTGAAATTCCTCTGATACATCTTCTTCTTCAACAGGTTTCACATTGCTATCTCTTCTGGTGGCATCTTCAATGAATTTGAGGTCTTCAATTTCAGGATCAGGATATTGTTTATGAAACTCTCTCGCCTTGAAACGCTTCAACTCCTTCTTGGTCTGTTCAAGCTCTTCTCCAAGTGTCTTTATGCAAATTGACATCAAGTTGTTTTCTTCTCCTGCCTTTTGAAGGCCTTGCTTTGTTTCTTCTAGCTCCACAGTTAGTGCTGCAATTTCGGACTGTCCATGCCCCTTTTCACTTGCTTCAGCTCTCTTCTACACTTTATGCAAATTGACATCAAGATAAACATACATAATAATAACAGACAAGAAAGAACTAAGCAAGACAATGAATTGAATAGATAAAGAAATGGAGGAAGAGTATACCTCCTTGAGTTTGTTAGCGTAAATCTCTCCAACAAGCACTGTCTCCCCAAACAACATGACTGCCTCCTTGACTGACCTGAATGGCGCTCTGGTGTCAATCTCCGCTCGCCCCACGACGACCAAGCCACCTTCCTCTCTTTCCATCCTCAGAGCTGCAGCCAAGAACCATAATGACAAAGGCTGCGACAATGATCACCTTTTAATACAGGGGCATAGGAAAATGCAAATGGAATGAAGCAATCGAGGTCGTTACAAATGGATTTTGCTTAGTTAATAAAATCATTGGCTTAGTTAAATTTCTTCGCGTCCACTTCACTGGAAATTTCGTTTGTTAGTTGAAGTTGACAAGGGGTGGTTGGATTCGTTAGTTTCCATTACCTTCCCCGTCTTGCCTTGATTGAGACTTGCCTCCTTCTTCCATAACGGCTCCATTGCCACCCCTTTTTGTTGGTAACAGTTTTTGGGCCAATGGGCTGGACCTTATTGGGTCGCTTCACCTATTCTTCAATTTGGGTTTAGTGGCCCAATCAGAGTTTTTTGGGCTTATAAAAAAACGAGATGAATAGATTCATTCGTTTAAAAAAAATTTTTTAAAGGATTTTTTAATTTATTATTTTCAATACAACATTTCCTTATAAATTTATATAAAAAATATAAAAATTAATATTAATTTTTGTTTTATTAATATGTAGATAAATTTAATTAAATGATTAATAAATTAAATGTTAATTTTTATTTTTTTAATATGAATTTATGTTGAGAAATATATTTATTACATTTCTCTAAAACACATCTTAAAAATAGACATAGGATAAATATTAAAAAAAGTCATTAAAAAAAATGTAATATAAAACATTTTATAAAATTTAATAAAGTTTAAATTATAAAATAAAAATAATTTGATAAACAAGAGGTTTCTTCACCTTGGTAGTAACTTAGCCTCAATCTAAAAGCACTTTTTGCAGTCCGGACTGCAACCCATAATTTAATTATGTTTTATTTAATCCAGTATATAAATCCCAGTTAGCCTGCAGAACTTCCAATTCTCGAGCTCTGAAGAACCTGAGAGACTCCCAGAAAAAGAGAGGGAAAGTGTGCAGAAACGAAGCCTGGTCATCTGATCCTCAACGGAAGCTCTTTTCCGTTCCCTTTTGTCGAACCCTAATTTCACCCTCACCCTTCTCTGCAAATTCTTACTGTAAATCATGATTAGGTTCTTTGTCGAAGCAATTTCTCCTGGGTAGGTAGAGGAAAGAGAGGCCGTAGCAAGAGTAGAAAGAAAGCATTTTTCTGAAGTTGCAAACTGAAAGAGCGGAGTTAGGGTTTTTTTGAGTCGCTCTCAAGCACCCAACCATGAGTCCCATCCAGAATTTCGAGCATCACTCTCGCGGTCTCATCGAATCCGATCTAAGTACTCTCTTTCTCCTCTGATATTTCTATTTTGTTCTATATAAGCTTAAATTCTGGTTCTGGGTGTTTTCTGGTATAGGAATTGAACTAATTTTCACTTGATGATTCTTTCGTTTCCTTTGTTTGGTATTGTATGCTAAGAAATTGGGCATTCAAGGCTCCAGGTATCTGGGATTGTTCCGTTAGCCCGCTCTTGCAACTTCAACTGAAAAAATTGAACGCAAGAGACTTTTGTGCTGGACTCTGAACTTTTTATTATAGAAGTGATCTGTTTTATAATTTTTGTCTTGTGTTTTGTTTTGAAACAGCCATCCAGTTCAGGCTGCAGATGGCAATGGAGGTTAGAGATAGTCTTGAGATAGCGCATACTTCGGAGTACTTGAATTTTTTAAAATGCTACTTCCGGGCATTCTCTGTCATTCTCTTACAGATTACAAAGCCGCAGTTCATTGACAATCAGGAGCATAAGTTGCGAAACATTGTGGTGGAGATCCTCAATAGATTACCTCATAGTGAGGTTCTTCGACCCTTTGTCCAGGACCTCTTGAAGGTTGCCATGCAAGTGCTCACCACAGATAATGAAGAGAATGGGTTAATTTGTATTCGTATTATCTTTGATCTTCTGAGGAATTTTAGGCCTTCTTTGGAGAATGAAGTTCAGCCTTTCTTGGACTTTGTGTGCAAGATTTATCAGAATTTCAGGTTGACTGTTAGTCATTTCTTTGAAAATGGAGCAGTGGGTGTGGTGGAGGATGTTAAGCCAATGGACATATCTACCGAACAGGCACTTACTGGCACTGGACATACTGGAAATGGGCAGCTTAACCCTAGTACCCGGTCCTTCAAGATAGTTACAGAGAGCCCACTTGTAGTTATGTTTCTTTTTCAATTATATACTCGACTTGTACAGACAAATATTCCTCATCTGTTGCCTTTGATGGTTGCTGCCATATCTGTTCCTGGTCCTGAAAAGGTTCCTCCACATTTGAAGACTCACTTCATTGAGTTGAAAGGTGCACAGGTTAAGGTATGTGCTTGTTATGTTAGGCTGCCATTTGATTTCAGCATTCCCTTCTAAATGGATGCTTGGTAAAGCTTGGTTTTATGATTCACTGTGGCTATACAAAAAGGGATAGCCATCCCCTTCCGGAACCCCTCCTCTCCCATCCCAGAATTCAAACTTGAGACCTCCAACATGGATTGCATTTCATCATTTTGCTTAAGCATCATAGTCATACTTTCTACTACTTTCTTGTCTTCTCTAAAAAACATTTATCTGGTATACTTCAAAATAGTGTCAGTTCCTGTTTTGAATGTTGGACATCTTTTCTGTGTAGAAAGGTGCTCTATGTTGAAATTCTTTTTTCCAGATTCTAAACATGTTTAGATTGTAAAACTGAATTCTCACAGTCAAGTTTTTCTTTGAGATCTAAAGGGGCCTTGGATTTTCTGTGTTCTTTAAATATTAAGTATCAATGAACCCTGTAACTGTTTAGTGATGTAGGCATGCCCTAAAGGAGTTGGAAGCCCACTCTTGTGAAAGCCAAAGGCATGCTCAGAACACTATTATTGGGCACTTTCTCCAAATTTCTGTCGTTCAGTTTTCCAAAGATGACATACAAAATTTTCATCTGTTCCAAAAAGAGTTTGACAATTCTATCCTTCCTCAAAAGATACTTTAAAGAGTTTTCTATCTACAAAAGGCAGTACTGTTCAGTCTATGGCTTGTTTGCTAGCTTGGCAAGAGACAGATCCTTTCAAATAATTTTAGTTAAATTAATATCTTATTTCATTCTTTGGTTTTAAGGCAAGCCACAAGAGTTTTCTAATTCTCTCTGTTCATTATTTCAGACAGTTTCCTTTTTAACTTACCTGTTGAAGAGCTGCACTGATTTTATCAGGCCTCATGAAGAAAGTATATGTAATAGCATTGTGAATTTGCTTGTTACATGCTCTGACTCTGTATCCATTAGAAAGGTGAAACTCCTTTCTCTCTTAGTTTGTGTTCTCTTCTTGATCTTTTATTTTGTGATTTATTTAACTTGGCATTGGATGATGTTGGATGCAGGAATTGTTAGTTGCCTTAAAACATGTCCTAGGGACAGATTTCAAGAGGGGTTTATTTCCTTTGATTGACACATTATTGAAAGAGAGGTAAAATTCTGATATTGTTACTATTTCCATTTGTTCGTTGTTTACCACAAAATGTGCTATAAAAAAAAGGGAAAAAGATTTATAGTTAAATTTGTTGGGGTAAACATGAGATTGAGCAGCTTTGGTCCACTTTATCTCTGTTTCTAAGCATATGAATCTGATCAACAGAAGACCACTGATTTTGCATAGTACTGTCTTGTCCCTTTATTATTACAGGGTTCTAGTTGGAACTGGGCGGGCATGCTTTGAGACTTTGAGGCCGTTGGCATATAGTCTTCTGGCAAAGACTGTTCATCATGTTAGGGGCGACCTTTCCTTATCACAGGTTCTTTGTTCGAAGATTTATTGATTTCTCCTGTTATTGGTTGATTATTTGGTGGCTACTTGTTTTGAATTGGTTTTGTTGGGGTTCTATGTTCTATTTGATTAATTTTTGTGATTTTATCATATCATGTCATGTCAGTTTATTCATATGGCCACATCTCAGTTAATCATTTGGATGCTATGATGCTTAATCTTACAATACCTGGATTTAATTATTCTCTTCCAATTGATTTATGAGTAAAATTAGGTCTCTTAAGTTTACAGTTATGCTCTTTTCTTTTTTTATTAAATTGCGAAGTCTAGGGTCATTCTTTATAAATTTCTCTTGAATTAGTGGATGTGTTGAATTCAGATATATGTTATAAGTTGGTAGATAGTTGAAGTCTATAAATTTTATGTTTGTCTCATATGATTTGCAGCATATATTTGCCCTTTCCTCCTCAGGCACACAATGTCCACTTGTTGTGCAAAACTCACATGGAATTTATGAACAAAGAAGCAAAGATGAAATTTGTGATGTTAGAGAATAGGTTCCCACCACCATCATAGAGTTTACTTATTGCTGGAAATTTGTTATATTAGTTAAGTTTTACCATTGCATCCTGTAATTCTAATGCTGATGTGGTGGAACCTTCTCATTTGCAGTTATCACGAATTATATACTTGTTCTCAAGTAACATGCATGATGCTTCATTGTCACTTGGCATTCACACTACCTGTGCTCGGCTGATGTTAAATCTGGTCCATATTCTTACTCTACTTCTTTTATGTTCTGCCTGAATTTTAAAATTTTTAAGGTTGAATTTATGGTGTTTACTAGTGATTCAATGTCATAAATGGCCCTTGAAAATTAGGTGGAACCAATTTTTGAGAAAGGTGTTGATCAGCCATCAATGGATGAAGCACGGATTCTCTTGGTATGAGTTTTGGTGTAACTGCTATATTGGGTTAACTTGAAGGGTCATGGTTTCTGAAATTTTTCCTGCTTTTTCTAATAACTTTTGTTTATATGTAGGGGCGTATTTTGGATGCCTTTGTTGGGAAATTTAGTACTTTCAAGCGTACTATTCCTCAGGTATCAATAATTGCTATATTTCCTTTTGTGTAATTTTGTATTAGCATTAGATCCTTGCCAGGCAATTCCTTAGAATTGGTCTTTCTCTATAATTATTTGCCTCTGGCATATGGCTTGATTGTCAGGTTTAAGGTTTATCCAGAATAATTAGCCAACAACATCAGCTACCATGACAGTGTTACTTATACCTGAGTTTTTTTTCCCATTTGCAAGGAAAAGTTTATCCATGATATTTTGCTCTTTTCTTGATGTTAATATGCTATTAGTTTCTTGTCTGGAGTTCTGCGAGTCTGATATGAGTTTTGATCGTATGTCATCAACTTGTTCTTTCATTCTTTCCTCTGTTGATGTAGAGCCAGTTATGTAGTTGATGGTCATTCTTTCTTCTCTCTGACAATTTGAAAATAACATTTATTGTCCTTTTTGGTTAAAAATTTGGTTATGCTTGTTTATCTGGATATTAGTTTCTCCTTGCCCACTTCACTTCTTCAGTGTTAATCTCTTGTTTATCTGGTTGATCTTGTCATTTTTGATTGTTGTTTCCTTTGAAGGTCTTGTTGAAGTTTGTTTAGTTCAATTGCTTGTAGTCCTGGGCTTCATATTAGATATCTATTTTGCTCTATATTGATATATTTAGTAACTCTAT